TTTTTTACCTATTTTCATCGTAATTTTACCCTTTTCTTCATAATTCGCACCCTATACTTTGTCCATAACTATATATGAATCAAGCAGAAATGAGTGATTCTTAGTTTAACTTTTTTTGGTGATCGTCTACTCTTCCCTGCTGGTCACCGCTGACCTACTTTCTGCTGAATCTGAATTTCACGATCTGAATTTCTGGTTTCGAATTTTAGGATATTGAATTTGATGTTCTGAATTTCTTCATTTTGAAAACTTGAAACTGTATTTTGGCAAACCCAATATCTGCAGTCTGTGAATTCAGAGCGCAAAAAATCTGACGTTTGAAAATACATCTATAAAATTTAGCCTTGAAAAATTCAGTTATCTTACATTTCAGATGCTCAATAGTCAAATTCAAAATAAGACATTTTTTAATGCCATATACAAATTCAGATTTGTTAAATTACAATTGTCAATGATTCAAATGAACACAATTCAAATTCAGATTGTTTTGACATATTATTAGCTCCATAGTTCAGAATAAGGGAGCTCTGAAATGTCACCTGAAACATCTCCATTTGTGTTCTGAATATGAATGAAGCTCTCATGGGTTTGGATAGAGATGAGGGGGATTCATTAATAACAGATATTTCATATTTGGGTGAACAAACCCTTTAAGTTCATGGAAGAATTAGACGTCAATAGAGCTTTGGATTTTTGAGTCAGAAATTTTAAATGGCTGATCCAGCACGTAAAATCGGTCAGGTGTGTGTTTTCAACGATGATCTGCTTGTTGTCACCAATAATAAAGTACACTGCCTGATTTACAGAAAAATGATTGATGATTTAGTAACAAATATGGCTAATCTGGTTGTTCCTGAATCTGAGTCAGAAGTTCAAAAGTTAAACAGCCCAGCTGAACAGGTTTTGCGAAATACGGTTTTTAGTTGAAAGACGAAAAAAGGATTAAGATAGAAGGCAAAAAGGGCTATGCTTTGCTTTGCTGCTTTCATTATTATTACAAAGACTTCTCAGTTTCGACCCAGAATTTATTTTGGTGCATCACAAATTAACTTGAGTAAACTAGCCCTTTAAATATACACTGCTAAATAAATGCTGGGTTCCACACAATTCCTTCATGTTGTCCCAACACAAATTAAGCTAACTTAATCATTTTTACAAATTTAAGTTGATTGAAGATTAAACAAGAAGTGTGTTGTTTCAACTAATTTTAAATAAATAGTAGTATTTTTTTCAGTACAGCCCATACTTTTAATCCTGACTGTCTTAAGGGTTAGTTCACACAAAACATTTATAATCATTTAGTTATCCCTGTATGACGGCCAAAAATGAAGCAGTTTTGAGGAATGCCCACACATATTATATGAACAGAAAAGCACCAAGGCAGTGCTCAAAATGTTTTAGAGGTGAAAACAATTTGGAGTAAAACGGAAATGAGTAAATGATGACAGAACTGACTTTTTTTGGGGGTAGACAGATGATTCAGGAACACTCCATTACACAATAAAAGCACAAGTAAAGCACATTCTACTACAGTATAATCCACAGCAACATTACTGTCTTAAGCCACAACAAATACAGTACCACATACATTCTACGACAACTACCACAACAGTAACCTTGTTTCCACAATTAAATTATTTACAAGAATTGTCAACCTTAATGAACAAATCAACTGACTAGTAATGCTACTACCTTTTTGTCTAGGGTGGTCAATAATGAAGTCCCATTCAACCATTCATTGACAACCCTACATCAATGGTAAAGCCATGGAAACAAGGAGGTTAGAGAAAACACAACGACTGAGATCAGAGCAGAGACATGATGCAAGTCTTACCTTCAGGATGAAGGGAATGGTCAGCATTAAATTCAGGATTAATACAGCAATGCACTAAGATTTAGTCTAAAGATGAGATTGTAACACACTGCACAGGTTACACTCCATTGATTATCTGTGTAAAATGTGCTTTTGTTTGCACTCGTGATGTATTTATGACTCATTCCAGACTTAATCGGTACATTAAGAGTATTTTCCATTCATTTTCCTTTATCTGGAATGACAAAACAAATGTATAACTGAGTAAAGACTAAATAATGTATAATTTACCATAAACTGGATCCATTATTAATGGAAAATAATGCTGTTTTTTTGTTAGTAATTGTTGTTTAAATTATCGTAAAGCTTTTTTAAACAATTAACATTTTACATTTTCCACCATTTTGTACTTTAGCGCAAGATGCTAACATCAAAGCAGACTCCACATGGCATAAAAAAAAAGTGACAAATTTTGATCAGTATTGTTTTTAAAGAGCAAATGAGAAATTCACTGAAATAACACAGTAACAGAGTTAACAATAACCCCTTTCACACTGTAATACCGATAAATATCCGGTAATTTTCAGAACGACTTAACCAGCGAGTTCAAAAAAGCGCTGTTCACACAGGCAAGGACGTTCAGGGATTTTTCCAGAAAAGACCATTCACACATCCATTCCAAAATACCGGTAAATTCTGACATCATTAACCAGAAATGAGCTCTAAACGGCTGCACTTGTTTTTGTGAACATAGAAGTGGTCAGGCTTTTGTTGATAGCTTCACTTTATTTAAAGCTTTAGCATTCATGCAGCTGCTTTGTCTCAGAGATATCCAAATGCAGAAACGTGAACTGCAGCTTAATGTTTACACATTTGACTACAATACAAAATTATGTGAAAGGAAAAGTATTGTGAACTACTTCCATGAAAACATATAGAGGACACTTTCGCATGTCGAGATGTACATAATATGTGCGTGTGCTGGCGCTCACCAGCTGATTCATGAGCACACGCAACAAGCAACTGAAGCAGAGCTTGAAGGTAAACAAAGAGCGGTTTATTATAAGCATTTTTTCGATAATTTTTCCCAGTTGGCATTAAGAAGGAACATATAAATGTTATCTGACCATCATCTAGCATCTAAATGTGACTGCAAAAATTTTCAAAGGCTTTTATTTTCGTAAACAGTGCGAATGTGAATGCGTCTGAATGTTCTGATTGGCTAAAGTAGACGTCTTACGTCAGCTTGTTCTAGATGTGAACACGCTCTTTCCGGCAATCTTCCTTCTGCGTTCACACAGCGCAGCATTCCGGCAAATTACCAGTAAAGTTACAACTTCTCTTTCCTGAAAATTTACCAGTATTTTCAAAAAGGGCCTGTTCACACATATAGACCTTTCCGGAAAATTAAGGTAATTTTCTGCCTGTATGTGTAAAAGGGGCTAATAACACAGTCGACATTTTCCACCATTTTGTGCATAAGCTCAAGATGCTAACCTCAAAGCAGTTGGAGAGGTGTACCTAATTAAGTGGCCGGTGAGTATATTGCTAGGCATTTAAATGTCAGGCGAACCACCAACTCCCTCAGGAGGAACATCTCTAATAGCTGATGATAAAATGAAAATCATTATAATTTTATTGCCCATTAGTGTTCTCTAAAGTGCCAACATGGGGTTCGTCCACTTCATCATGTAGAAGACTATTAAAATGTCAGTTAGTTGCAAGTAAAGTGCAGTAAACACTACAGTTTGATAATTTTTTTTCTCTTATAATTACCAATGCTGTAATTTACAATCAATAATACAGCAGACACAATAATATTGTAAAACATTAGATTTAATTGTTCGATAAATCACTATATTTTCATTTTAAATAGACCTGTTATGCAAAAATCACTTTTATAAGGGGTCTAAACACAGTTGTGTGGCGACAGTCTATGAATACAGCCAGCTTCTAATGCTTAAATGTATTAATTCTATTTTTTTTTAATTCACACTTGATAAAAACAGTCTGCAGAACATTTTGATTGACACTAATCTGCTGTACGCGTCATTAGAGGAGGAAAGCCCCGCCCACTAGTTACGATCTCTCCCTCATTAGCATAGGGTGTTAGTCTTGTTTTTGAATTTGGCACTATGATGACACACATGCATTTGTAGCTCCGCCCACTTTTGAAAAAGAGCACAATCTCAATTCAATTTAAAGCGACAGTCACCAAAACGCCACGATTACAATCAAAGCCTAAAAGGGGCAGGTTTAAAACATTAGCCCCTTTCACACAGTGATACCGGTAAATATCTGGAAAATTTCCGGAACGACTTTACCGGTATATTCAAAAAAGCGCTGTTCACACAGGCGAGGACGTTATGGAAATTTTCCGGAAAAGAGCATTCACACATCCATTCCAAAATACCGGTAAATTCTGACATCATTCACCACAAATGAGCTCTAAACGGCTGCGCTTGTATTTGTAAACATTTGACTAAATTACAAACTCTGTGGATGATCAATATTGTGAACAACTTTCACAGGATCACTTTCGCATGTCGAGATGTTCATAATATGTGCGTGTGCAGGCGCTCACAGGCTGTTTCACAGGCACACGCAAAGCTTGAAGGTAAACAAACAACGGCTTATCATAAGCATCTCATCGATGATTATTTACACAGTTGGCATTAAGAAGAACATATAAACGTGATCTGACTATCTTCTAGCAGCTAAATGTGTCTGGAAAAATATTCAAAGGCTTTTATTCTCACAAACCGCGCGGACGTAAATGCGTCTGACTGTTGTGATTGGCTAAAGCAGACGTCTCACGTCAGCACGTTCTAGACGTGCACGCGCTTATTACGGTAATCTTCCTTCTGCATTCACACAGCGCAGCATTCCGGCAAATTGCCGGTAATGTTACAACTTCTCTTTCCGGAAAATAGCCAGAACGAATTTACCGGTATTTTCAAAAAGGACCTGTTCACACATACAGACCTTTCCGGAAAATTGCCGGCAATTTTCCGGAAAGGTCTGTATGTGTGAAAGGGGCTATTATCTGTATGGTATTTTGAGCTGAAACCACTCACACACTCTAGGGACATCAGATAATTATTTTACATCTTTTAAAAAAAGGCATAATAGGACCACTTTAAAAAAATAGTATACCTGATTGCTAATAAAACAGTAGGACACAACATTTCAAGTCTACAATTTTATTCAATAATGTCCCTTATCAGAATATACACTGGTCGCATAAAAACAAAAGAAATACGGCGCTCAATAACATAGGGAGAATGGTTAAACCATGGCATTCCAGGATAGATATGACTTTTTGTCTTTGTCATTTTTTTGTGGGGTGTAACACACACTAGAACACAAGAAAGACTTCAACGCTAAGACTACTTAGCCACACCGCTAGGTGCTTATCTAAGAGGAACCATGAGCACAGTCAAATTGCATAGATCAGCCACGATAAAACAAGCAAAGGGAGAAAGAACAAAGAGGAATTAAGTACATGGCAAAGAAAACACAAACATAACATTTCCAACATGCTCATTGAAACTTGTGGTGATTGTAGGTTTTGCCCATTGTATATGAATTTGCTTAAATCCCACTGATAGTCTAGAGATGGACTTAGGTGCCGTTTACACCGGTGCATTTTAGATTTGTTACATTTATTCCAGCATCTTTTTAAGTCCCCGAGAGATTGAAATAAACTTTTTCAGATGTTACTATTAGTATGTTAGTCTTAATGATATGTAAAAGCTAGCGTGCTTCAAAACAGTGACAAAATTTGCATTTAGAAGATATAAACATCCCAAGATTGCAGTTGGTTTCTTCCGCCAAAATGGATCAATGATTTTCAAAGCATGCTTTAGTTTCTCATCAAATCTGTTGACCAATCAACTGTTCTCTAGTATTACATGCCCCACCCCCATCAAGATGCTACTGATATATGCGCTTGATCTTACTCTCACTAGATATAAACCAAATTCTATTGGATGAGTTTGAAAAAAGGTGGAGCAGCTACTCTATGTCCTGCCCTGTCTTCATGTTTTGACTGCTTTTACAGTTGATAAATATGATTTTAAAGACAATAATTCAGCAAATTTTCATCTTAAAGAGACCTAATATGTAAAAATCACTTATATAAGGGGTTTAAACACAGTTTTGTGGTGAGAGTGTCTGAATATAACTAGCCTTTAATGGTAAAACATTTATTACTTCTACTCTTTTATTATCAGGCTTGATAAAACAGTCTGCTGAAATGCTTTGATTGACTATGTCCCAATCCCCCCACTGACACATATGTATTTGATCACTGATCACCCCCACTGACACATATATATTTGTAGCTCCGCCCTCTTTTAAAAAATCACGTTAGAATTTAAAGCAACAGTCACCAATTTGCCACAATTTGAATCAAAGCCTAAAATGGGCAGTTTAAAAGTGTCATTAAACATTTTTGGTGTGGTGTTTTGAGCTAAAACTTCACATACACAGGGACATCAGAGACTTATTTTAAATCTTGAAAAAAAAGGCATAATAGGTCCACTTTAAAAAGTAGTTTGCATGATAAACACTGGTGTTTTGTTTCATTGTAGACGGACTGAAACACAAACAGTTGAAAATGGAGGCAAGGCTAATCACAATCGCTCTGATTGGTCTGCTGGACTATTGTGTGTTCCCTACTGACAACTTTGCCCCTGTTATATGGCCATTACATAAACAGTAGACTGAAAGTACAAATGTTGCTATAAGTCTCGTCGTTGATCCTAGTTGTAAGAACAACAAATAATAGCTTGACTCCTTCTAGTTGATCATTTGTAAAAGTGACAAAAGGTAGATTTTTTCTCATGAATCATTTGTTAAACTGCAATCATCACTAATACTGCAGAAGACCTATTGGATCCCGCATGGACCCAAGATTCTCAGAAAAATTAGTCAACTTTGGTGAAGAAAAAAGTCATGGTTTGGGGTTACATTCAGTATGGGGGCGTGTGCGAGATTTGCAGAGTGTATGGCAACATCAACAGCCTGAGGTATCAAGACATTTGTGCTGCCCATTACATTACAAACCACAGGAGAGGGCAAATTCTTCAGCAGGATAGCGCTCCTTCTCATTCTTCAGCCTCCACATCAAAGTTCCTGAAAGCAAAGAAGATCAATATGCTCTAGGATTGGCCTGCCCAGTCACCAGACATGAACATTATTGAGCATGTCTTGGTTAAGATGGAGAAGGCATTGAAGATGAATCCAAATGCAAAGGATCTTGATGATCCTCCAGGCTCACAGGAGTCTCAATATTCAATTTTTTCCACTGCAGCATGACTTTATATTCTATACTGGACATTATTACTGTTAAGTGACAAGACTTTTGTCTAAGCAAAGTCAGATCTTACTGTCCTAATTAAATCATTAAAAATCAAGGTATGGTCATATTTTATTTTGGTAAAATAAGTGTAATCTAGAGGCCTTCGCCTTTCATATGAGCCACTTCCAATGACAAATGATCAACTACAAGTCAAGTTATTATTTGTTGTTCCTAAAACTGGGATAGGCGACAAGGCTTTTGTAATGTAGTGAACTCATTTCACACAATATAGTGTGGAAGAAGATCGTTTTTCTAAAACACAGTAAAAACGCCAGTCTGGACGAAGAGTGTTTTCATTTGCAAAATGAAATTCACGAGTGTAAACGGCACCTTAAATGCTCATCCTCATGAAATGCTTCTCTCGTAAGCCTGGGTTAAAACCTACACAATAATCATCTAGCGATGCAACATTTGCAAACGATCAACAGACAAAACATTAACTCAAAATAAAATGACGCTTTTAGCATCTAACACAATACAACTCTATCTAATCTAATAATGAATAATCCAAACATCATACATATAGTACAGTACGTACAGACATGTGTTCATATATTGAGCTCTGTTTTATGTTTGATATGTATTGTAAAATGTGACTTTGCATGCCTGATGCCCAAAATAACGTAACAGATTGATACATGGGTCAATATTTGACCATTTTCAGATAAATGCTGAAGAGTTAACTTTAAAGATAACAAGCCATTCTGTTCAGTGCATTTATGCATTACAGGATTAAATAAATGATATTTTAAGGTCATGAAGACACAACACTTTCCAATAAAACCCTTTGTTTTTCACAATTCCTATTTTACCTTCTGAAAAAAGGAAATTCGATTAAAAATATATAGGTCCAATTTTCTGGCAGTAACTCAAGAAGAAATCAAGGAATGTTTGATATGAGTCTCTCATTTCTGTTACACGTCACAATAGACGAGACCTCGGGAAGAGCAGCCTGTCATAGGCTCCGTCTAAACACATTTACGCACGCTTAGAAAATAACACACATCTGTCTTATTGAAATAGAGGCTATGATTCAAAATAGAGGCTATTTGAGACGGCAATGGTTAAAAGTAAAAAATAAAGCTCGTGAACTTATATTTACATTTCTCAATTTTGACGAACGCTATCGAACACTGAATCTCTTGCCTCGAAAGCGCACACCCCTGATAGGCTCTTTCTGTATATTCAAGTTTATCCAAAACACCCCATTCGGTGGAGAAACAAACACAGGCAAAAATGATACAATACAGTTGACAAACATCAGAACGTTGTACCCTAACATACAGATAAATCATCGTATAATATGTATCTTGAGAATAATGCACATTTATACAGGTTCAGAATGTGTACATTCATCCTATATTATGCCCATATGATCTGGTTTCTTTTTGTTTACAGATTGTTTTTCATTTTACTGAGTTCTATGGTCATCTTGTAAAGGTAGTACATCTGTGTCCCACACCTCAGTGCAAACAGCAAATAATAAAAATAAGAAGCAGGGGGTATGAATGAAGGAATCAAAATAAAGGAGATACGATGAAGAAAAGAATGATAGAATGAAAGAGCATCCAGGAATCAAACCCAAGATGATTGACGGACTATAAGAAAACACTTGGTTTAAAGACTTGGTTTGAACTAAATTCGATAATGTGGATGGGAAAATCTGTAAATGTTCTTTGCGCGAGTATGAAAAAACAAACTAGTCATTTAGGTTTATCGATATTAAGTCCTAGGATATCGAGTCGTAACTGCACACGAAAGGAAATTTGTCCGACAGAAACATTTAAATACCAGCCATTCAGAAGCGCAGGTTTATAATCTAATTAACACATACTAAACCTCTTTAACATTATTAAAAGTACATGCTGAGTGACTGATGTTGAGTTCTGACATTCATTTTCAAACTATACATTTGCTAGTTTGTTTATTTTCAAGATCTGAGGTGAACTATCTGCTGCTGCTTTCAGTATGGCAATAAATGGTATGTAAAATGTTGTTTAAACTCGCATTGGAAGCTTTAACACTGAATGAAGCCCATAATTAGTACCTGAGGCGATCATTGTCGTAGTATATGATGTTTTTCAGCCATGGCATCGCAAAAATGAAACCAATTTTAAAATGGGGCTCCTTTGAATATGGAAAAGATAGCTTTTATCGCATCTTGTGTAGTTAGGATTCATACACGAATCCAAATGTACTCATATCCGACATATTTCATCAATTGATTGTTTTAAACCTTTTTACTTAAATGCATTAACAATTTTTTTTCTGGACAAATCTCAGTATAATAATAGGGTTTTGTGTATGGTTTTTCAGACCGTTATAATACAGTTGTTTTGTGCTTAGTGTTTTCTTTAATAATCTACAAAGTGGACCAAATATACTTTAAGAGATTGTTTAGATAACAATCAGGTCAAAAAAGTGTTGACCTAGCATTTTTAAAAACAATGATCAAAAACACGCTTATACGTGAAAACTGCCAAAATTGTAAGATTATGTATGCCAGGCCAGTAGTTTTCGCTGTCACGCTGTTAGCAAACAGAACTCGTAGGCAAGGAACGATTAGACCTTTGGATTAAAAAAAAAAAATGACAAAAACAAAATGGTTTATTTTTATGGATTAACCTGTATGGATTAATTTTTCACTTTAGGTCTAACGATGAGCGCTAGCAAAAGAAACATAGCAAATTTGTATATTGCAGACTTTATAAATACTTGTTTTTTTAAAAATGATTTTAAAAAATTTCAACTTTTGGATTGACATCCAAAGATTACCAAAACAATGTTTTTTTTTTAATTCTGTGTGGATTAATTTGTACAGACTAATTCTTCACAACAAAACTATGTGCTAACGAGACTAACAATGTGTGCAAGCAAAAGAAACATCGCAAATTTGGATACTGTGGACTTTATAGATACATTTTTCAAATGGTATAATAAAATTTTGACTTCTGGATTGACAAAGATTATATTTAATATAAATGATTATAATATATATATATATATATATATATATATAAATAAATTGTCAATTAACTTGTACGCATTAATTGTTCACCTTAAGAATAATATGATGTGTGATAGCAAAATAAACATGGCAAGTTTTGACATCACGTGGACTTTTTTTTGTAAATTAATTTATACAATTAACTCTTCACTTTAAGACTAATGCAACACTAGTTCACAGCAATTCGTAACTTTTTGATTTAGTAGCTAATTCGTATGACATCTCATTCGTACACTTTAGTACGGTTTGCTTATCCCCCTCTGACGGTTGGGTTTAAGGGTGGGGTTTGGTGCGACTGAACTTGTATGAATTTGTAAGGATTAGCCACTAAACTGACAAAACGTGAAATAATTACGTTTCCTTGTGAGATCTGGCCGGACTAACAATGTGCAATAGCAAAATAAACATAGCAACATTTTGATATCACATGGACTTTTTTGTGGATTAATTTGTACAGATTAATTCTTTACCTTAAGACTGACGCAACGATATCACACAGCAATTCATAACTTTTTGATTTAGTGGTTAATTCGTATGAAATTGTACAATCTCATTCGTACAATTTAGTACATATGCCCCAATGATGGTTACGTTTAGTAGTGGGGTTTATTGCGAATGAACTTGTACAAATTCATTTGAATTTATCATTAAACGGACAAATTGTAAAATAGTTACGTTTCCTCGTGAGATCTGGCTGGACTAACGATGTGCGATAGCAAAATGAGCATCGCAAATTTTGATATCAAGTAGATTCATTTGTCTGGATTATTTCTTCACCTTAAGACTAACGCAACAGTATCTCACAGCAACTCATAACTTTTTAATTTATGAAATATAATTCGTACAATTTAGTATGATTTGCTATCATGTGGCCTTTATACACATTTTTCAAATGGTATAAATTATAATTTTATTAAAAATAAAACTAAACTAAACAATAATAATTTTCATTTTTTTTAAATTTCGACCTTTGGATTGACAAAGATTACCAAAACAAAATGGTTTCTTCATTGTGGATTAATTTGTACAGATTAATTTTTCACCTTAACACTAATGATGTGCGATAACAAAATAAATAACGCAAATTGTAATATCGTGGACTTTATACACAATTTCCCAATGGTTTAAAAAGTTTTATTTACATATATATATATGTATCTTAAATTTAATTGAAAAAACAACAACTTATTTTTGAATTTCGATCTTTGACTTGCCATTAACCCTAGCTAAGCTGTTCGTTCAAAATAAAAGTTCATAAAAAAAAAAAGCTTAGCAAATTTTACATTGTGATGGATGAAGCATAAATGAATGAAAGTCATGTGAATGTTTATGGATCAACAGAGAAGAAAGATACTGCGAAAGTTTAAAAGAATGCCAAAAAGAAAATATGGATGGACTAACTTAAGGTTTCTAAACTACTGCTTATTTTTTTTTAAAGAATTGCACACTGCCCTCTCCCTCTCTGTTTCCTCTATAAGTCGATGAGTTGGTCCACCAGCAGAAGGGAGCATGCCAGCGAGGGCAGACTGGTCTCAGAACTGCCACTGTTGCTGCGCGAATGACCACCTAGAACATGCCGGAAAGAGGAGAGGAGAAAGAGAGAAATGAGAAGTGTGAGAAAGGAGGAGGAAGAAAAGAAGACATTGACGGAGGAGGGTGAGTGAGGGATGAGGGGTGAGAAAAGAAAGGAGAAAGAGAAAGGCAAAAACCAGATGAATAGCAGGAAAGAGAAAGCATAAAACGCTAAAAGATAACAAGAGCAGCATCAAAGTAAGGATTATGTGTGGGAACAGCGCAGGACGGCTAGAAAAGAAAGAACACACCAACCCGAAAAGAGTCTCGAGAGGAATCGTGTTCACCGTTACTGCTGCTTAAAGGTCACAATCCATTTTAAGTAACACGTCACACTTACTTCAATATCCTGTGGATGAAAAGTCATATTCCATCCCACAATTTAAGAAAAGCTATTATATTTTGCATGACGGAGTTTGAACATGATTTTCCGCAATGGAAATACGTTTTGTTTTTAAAACTTTGTTGTGTATATCATTGACAAATTGAGTGTATTCACTTATTTGTCAAAAAAGAAAGCAAAAAAACAATTTAAGCAAAAAAAAAAAAAAGTAATTGAGATATGTACACACTATATACACTACCTGACAAAAGTCTTATCGGGATAAGGGATAAGTTTTAGGAACAGCAAATAATAACTTGACTTCTAGTTGATCATTTGGTATCAGAAGTGGCTAATATAAAAGGCAAAGGCCTCTAGATTACACTTATTTTACTAAAATAAAATATGATCATGGCTTGATTTTAAATTATTTAATTAGCACAGTAAAGTCTGACTTTGCTTAGACAAAAGTCTTGTCACTAAAAAAGACTGTACAGTATAAAAATAATGTCCAGTATAGAATATAAAGTCATGCTGCAGTGGAAAAAGAAGGAATGTTGTGTCTGACTCCCATGAGCTCCCATTTTGACAAAGAAGGCAAAGAAAGTATTCTTGCAGGACTCCCAAAGTATATTAAGATTATTTGGATTCATCTTCAATTCCTCCTCCATCTTACCCCAGATATGCTCAATAATGTTCATGTCTGGTGACTGGGCTGGCCAATCTTGGAGCATCTTTGCTTTCAGGAACTTTGATGTGGAGGCTGAAGTATGAGAAGGAGCGCTATCCTGCTGGAGAATTTGCCCTCTCCTGTGGTTTGTAATGTAATGGGCAGCACAAATGTCTTGATACCTCAGGCTGTTGATGTTGCCATCCACTCTGCAGATCTCTCACACGCCCCCATACTGAATATAACCCCAAACCATGATTTTTCCTTCACCAAACTTGACTGATTTCTGTAAGAATCTTGGGTCCATGCTGGTTCCAATAGGTTTTCTGCAGTATTTGTGATGATTAGGATGCAGCTCATCAGATGATTCATCAGAAAAATCTACTTTCTGACACTTTTACAAATGATCAACTAGAAGTCAAGTTATTATTTGTTGTTCTTACAACTGGGGTCGACAACAAGACTTTCAACAGGTAGTGTACAGTTAAATGCAAATTTATAATCTCTCCTGTGCAATTTCCCAAGTGATATTTCCACAGTGTTTCCTATTTTATACATTTTTTTGTTTAAGTTTGCTTGGTATAAAAGCAGTTTAGTCTTTTTTTGTAATGATTTGTAAGGTCAATATTATTAGCCCCCTTAAGAAATGATTTATTTCGATTGGCTACAAAACATCCACTGTTGTCAAATGACTTGCCTAATTAACCTAGTGAAGTTTTTAAATGCCATTTCAAGCACTAGCATAAATAGCTAGTAACATTATGTGCTGTCATTAAGACCAAAGAAATTAGTTATGAAGACTATTATGTTTAAAAATGTATATATATATAACCTTCTATACATTAAAAAGCACTTTGGAAATATTTAAAAAGAGAGTTAATAATTTTGACCTTAACTGTATTAAATAATCAATATAAATTCACAATATTCAAGCATGTGTCTATAATTAATATTAATATATTTTTTACAATTTATTGACTCCAATCTTTTAGACGGTAGTGTAAAAACCATTGAAATAAACAGTGAGCTATGCCCTTTTTCATTTTTAATGATTCACAATGAGCAATTATGGAAATATCTCAAAGGGATCGAATGTGTTTTTTGATATCAGGGTGAAATATGACAAGTTTTATTTTTATTTTTATCAGATTTCTCCATTTTTTGAAGGATTTCAAAGGTCTCAGAGAAAGGCAAGTTTAGTTAAGTTAGCATCAACATTAATGAACCAGTGTCTCGGACCAATCTACAGTGTGTTTATGTTTATATTTAATCACTTTAACTGATGAAAGCTATTAGTTACTAGTTAATTAGATGAAGTTATTAGTAACTCATTCGTTTTCCTTTGGCTTAGTCTCTATTTCAGAGGTCGCCACAGTGGAATAAACCGCCAACTATTCCGGCATATGTTTTACGCAGCAGATGCCCTTTCAGCTGCAACCCAGTACTGGGAAACACTCATACACACTTCTATTCACACACACTCATACACTATAGCCCATTTATTTTATTCAATTCCCCTATAGCGCATGTGTTTGGACTGTGGGGGAAACCCACGCCAACACGAGGAGAACATGCAAACTCCACACAGAAATGCCAACTGGCCCAGTTAGGACTCGAACCAGCGACCTTCTTGCTGTAATTAACCACTGAGCCACCGTGCAGCCAATATTAGTAGCTAATAAGCTTAACGTTTTGGATTTTGGTTGTAAATCTGCTTTGAAACAATAATCATTGTGATTATTGCGCTACACAAATAAACTTGAACTGAAATGACTACAGTAAAAGTTTAATGGAACTTTCTTTCAGTACCACACGTCTACACTCAGAAACATAAAATAAAGCACATGCTCTCGTCCAACAGACGTCTGCTTTTGTGTCAACTCCCTTACCTTGGCTGGAGCTTTTGGAGTTAAGCACTGGAATTGGGTCAAACTGGTTATCGGAGCTCTGGTCTCCAGTCTCAGAGGACTGAAAGCCTGAGAGTGGGTGATTCTGATCTGATGCTGTATGATGTTAGTGCCACAGAAGAGGAAACAAACAAAAAGACATTGAGGAAAGTGTTAGGAAGCCAGAGTGAAAATAATAGTCAAGCAAGAGCATAGGAGCTTTTGCGCAGTGGGCTGAATGAATTCAATAAATAAACCCAACTGTTTAACTCTAGGGGAGTTGCAAAATGAGCATATCTCCCCCTAAAAAGTAGTGCTATTAATCTATGGCTCATCATAGACAGTTGAAGTCAGAATTATTTGCCCCCCTGTTTATTTTTCCCCAATTTCTGTTTAACGGAGAGCAGAGTTTTTCAACATTTCTAAACGTAATAGTTTTAATAATTCATTTCTAATAACTGATTTATTTTGTCTTTGCCATGATGACAGTAAATAATATTTGACTAGATACAAGACACTTCTATACAGCTTAAAGTGACATTTAAAGGCTTAACTAGGTTAATAAGGTGAACTAGGCAGGTTAGGGTAATTAGGCAAGTTATTGTTTAACGATGGTTTGTTCTGTAGACTATCTGGAAAAAAATAGCTTAAAGGGGCTAATATAGTTGTACCTTAAATGGCTTTAAAAAAATTTTAAATGGCTTTTTTTTCTAGCTGAAATAAAACAAATAAGACGTTCTCCAGAAGTAAAAATATTACTAGACATAGTGTTAAAATGTCCTTACTCTGTTAAACATTGTTTGGGAAATATTTAAAAAAGAAAGAAAAACTCAAAAGGGGGCTATTAATTCTCATTTCAACTGTATGTCAAGCAGTGTAATTAGTTATGCGAGTTACATAATGATATTACTTTTCTAAATAACAAATAAAGTAATGCATTACTTAAAAAATAAGTAATATTAAAATGTGAGTTCCTTTTTTAAATATTTAATGCAAGTTACTTTTTAATAGATACCAGTATCGGAAACACTTGCCGATACTGCAACAAGTCTGGCATTGGTATCGGCGAGTATTCGAAACCATAAACCGATCTAAAACATCTTTTTAAACGTGACACATGCCTGCTAGCTTTGCTTAACACTGAAAACCTGGAGTCAGTTCTTCTTTGCTGCTTAGAATGCAAAGAGAGGAGGACACAACAAACTGAATTTTCTGATTTTTAAGTTTCAAAGAGGTTATTTTTTCTATATTATTCATATTCATTTTCTATATTTCTGCAGGTATACTGTAAAACTTGCTTAGTTTTTTTCAGTTTATGGTGTTTCATTTGTGGCTGAACTTGTTTCAGTAAAGTACTGTAAAATATTATACCACTGAATGTTTGATAATAAAAATGTCCAGATAGTATTAATATTCTAGTTCACTGCATGTATTTGTTTGCGTTTTATTAATTCTAATTAATTTGAATGAATTCTGTCCCTTTATACAGGGCTAGTAGTATACTACAGACAAACTTTTTCTACAGACAGACAGTCAGTTATCGGTGCAGTACTCAGTATCGGCCAGTACCCAGAGCTTAGGTATCAGAATCGGTATCGGGAAGGGATAAAGGGTATCGGAACATCCTTATTTTTTAGTTTAATTAATTCGTTTTAAAAAAATAACTTGCTGAATCACATGCTCAATGAGAGAATGCGCTTCCCACGGGAACAGACATAAATGAAAATGGCAGGCAAGAACTTTACATTTCTGTCATGAAAGTATTCTTATTATTCTGAATGCATTGAAGAAAATTAAAAGGAGATTTTCTCGATTGACAGTGATTTTACTTAAAACAAATTGTACAAAAATATGAAACATAGTCTTTAAACTTTCAGTAATCTGTATATACGGCATGTAGATCTCAGAGTTCAGGAGGTTCTCAAAAGACAACACCATCCTAAACTGTTATTTCTGGATGTGTTTTGTTATGGGTAACATATTTATTCTTTAAATTATACTTTAAGTGGAATATTAGCATCTTGCTAAATAGCAAGCAAAATATTATATACTGCCATCATGGCAAAAAAACAAAAAACAATTAGTTATGTAAACTAATATGTTAAAAATGTGTCGAAAAACAGCCTTTTTTGAACTATTATTTTTTTACGTGTTTTTTTAAAGGTAAATGAAGGTGCAAATTATGAAAGGAACTCAAAAGTAACAAGTAACATAAAGCATTACTTACCATAAACAGTAACTAAGTAACGCAACTATTTACTTTTTAGAGGGAGTAATCTCAATATTGTAGTACATTACTTTCAAAAGTAACCAAGTAACGTAATGCAACTAGTTACTTTACGGAGTAACTCAATATTGTAAAGCATCACTTTCAAAAGTAACTAAGCAATGCAACTAGTTACTTTTTAGAGGGAGTAATATCAATATTGTAGTACATTACTTTCAAAAGTAACCAAGTAACGTAATGCAACTAGTTACTTTACGGAGTAACTCAATATTGTAAAGCATTACTTTCAAAAGTAACTAAGCAATGCAACTAGTTACTTTTTAGAGGGAGTAATATCAATATTGTAGTACATTACTTTCAAAAGTAACTAAGTAACGTAATGCAACTAGTTACTTTAAGGAGTAACTCAATACTGTAAAGCATTACTTTCAAAAGTAACCAAGTAACGCAACTAGTTACTTTTTAAGAAGTAACTCAATATTACAATGCACTAATTTCAACAGTAATTAAGAAACCCAACTAGTTACTTTTTCGGAGAGTAACTCAATATTATAAAGTTTTACATTCAAAAGTAATTAAGTACGTAATGCAACTAGTTACGTTAAGGAGTAACTCAATATTGTAAAGCATTACTTTCAAAAGTAACTATGTAATGCAACTAGTTAGTTTTTAAGAAGTAACTCAGTAACTCAATAACCAAGTAACCCAACTAGTTATTTTTGGGGGAGTAACTTAATATTATAATACATTACTTTCAAAAGTAACTAAGTAACGTAATGCAACTAGTTACTTTAAGGAGTAACTCAATATTGTAAAGCATTGCTTTCAAAAGTAACCAAGTGATGCAACTAGTTACTTTTTAAGAAGTAACTTAATATAACAATGCATTAATTTCAACAGTAACCAAGTAACCCAACTAGTTACTTTTTTGGAGAGTAACTCATTATTGTAATGCAATACTTTCAAAAGTAACTTTCCCCAACACTGCTGGCTGTACTGTATGCACAGAGGTCTTACCCTGGTGGGATGGTCCACTGCTCAAAGCAGTAAACTGGTCCACAGATGGTACAGGCAGGGACGAGGGGGAAGACAGCAGTAGACCCCCAGCAGAGGGGTGAGAGAGAAGCGAACCATCCAGAAGTGAATCCCGTCCAACCAAACATTCTGGAGGGCAAGCGTGAAGGATAAAGAATGACAGAGCAGAAGCAATTGAGAATATGTATAGTTGAACAAAAAGGCCCAAGTGGAAGAGATGAAAGAGAGTGCAGACGAAATATGAAGACACAGAGGATGGGGAAAAAGAATCCAGAGAGAAGCTCTGCAGCAGAAGTGAATGAAGACACGACATGCTTTACAAAAGGTTGATTTCACATCATTTAGTGTTCTGAAATGTGTGAAAATACAAGATGACATACTCAGAGTTTCTCCAGGTTTCACAAGTCAAATTTAAGACATTTTAAGACTGCTATAGATAATATTTCCAAGCTAAATGGTAAGGATTTTGTTTTATGGCCCGGTTGGGCCAGTGGAAAAGATTTTTACTTGCTCCATCAAAAAAAATCTAATTGAGTTAGTTCTTATAAATATTATCCTTTTTTTTCCAACATAACTTCATTTTTTAAGTTTTAAAACTACATTGAGTTAAAATGTATGCAGAATAAGATGCCTGTCCTTGTCAGTGTCCTCACCAGGTAGCTATAAATCATAAATATTCAAACCAATGTTATTGTAAGGAACATAATTAATCCATATTGGTGAATACTTAATAAATAAAACCTTTGTAAAACGTTTTATTGAGATGGATTGGATGGTTATTGGCCAGACTTTGTACCTTTACATGGACATAGAAAAAAAAATAAGATCTGTTTGAAACATTTTAGGACCTACAACACAATTTTTAGGCCTTTAAGGCCTAAATTGTAGTGTTTTTAAAGAGGTTTCTTTCTTAAGAGATTTTAAGACTTTAAATACTCTGCATACATCCTGATCATGTAATGTTCATTGTTTGAGCCAGCAATGTCGTTCCGGTCAGCATCCATGATGCTTGAGTAAAAAAAATCTCATATAAACTGCAGTTTAATGTCAGGGGTAAAACAATCACCACTTGTTAGGGTTAAAATTGAATTTAATTTATACCTAAAATAGTGCCCTGTGAAATGTGAATTTATTAACAAATCAAGATTTCTTAAAATGTCTTAATGCAATCAATAGAAATGTGAGCAGCTCTTTATTTTTTGTAAAACTAGAGATGTTTAAAATCAGAATATACACAAACATTATGTGAAATAATTATTATTAATAATATCTGTGGCATAATTTGCAAGTTCATTCTTCTGTGTTGTATTAATATAGATTTATATTAATATATAGTTGAAACAAACCTTTATTTTTGCAAGTTCTATGTATATTTGACGAGAATTTGTCTCAAATTAAGCTCTGGACATTAAATAAATGTGTTCTAAACCTGCATATCATTGTTTGATTACGTGTTCAGCAACACTTATTCATCCAACCTTACTCAACCTGTTTGATGACAATCCAAGTTATACAGAAAAATTCCATTTTATTATTATTTTTATGAAAGAAATAAAAACCAACAGCATGAGCTATTCAGTACAACTACAAACAACAAGCCCAAAATAAGAGCAATAACGTAATGAGTTACAATATGTGATTCACACTGCAATGTAGTTTGATATTTTGGTCAGCAGGTGGAGCTCCTGACAATGCAAACCTCCACCCTGGATTGCCTGCATCAATTTCTGGAAAGGTGACGCAGCACATTGAGAATTTTAAAGAAATATTTTGTAGGTCACGTCCTGTAGCATGATCAACAATGTGCCGCTTATTAATTTATGTTTTGTTGCCAAACTAATTAAGTGCTCATCAATCATCTAAACCAATCTACATGTTCTCATAAACAAGCGATGACAAGTTACATCACTGCCAATGAGGACAGATGAGGTCATATGCTCATTGTGCATGTTTACTTCTGTGGACAGACTTGCTGTAGTTAACTTATTAAGGGGTCCTATTACGCAAAAATCACTTTTATAAGGGGTTAAAACACAGTTAAGTGGTGGCAGTCTGTGAATATAGCCAGCTTGTAAAAGTAAACATTAATTAATTCCACTTATTTATGATCACATTTCATAAAAACAGTCTACAGAAACAATTAAATTTACATTCTCCCATTGTACGTGTCATCAAAGGAGGAAAGTGACCATTAGTGACCATCTCTCCCTCATTAGCATAAGTGTTGTTTTTGAATCTGCCACTATGCTGACACATAGGCACCTGAAGCTCTGCCTCTTTTGAAAAGAGCACAATCTCACTTGAGTTTAAGGTGACAGTCAGCAAAACGGCACAATTAGGATCAAAACGTAATAGGATCAGATCAGTTTCAAAAAACATTATTTGTGGGGCGTTCTGAGCTGAAACTTCACACACTCTAGGGACATCAGAGACTTATTTTACATCTTGTAAAAAAAGAAGCATATTAGTGGCATTTTAATTCATAATTAAATTTATATTAAGATTGTATAGAATGCTAAATGATTTGAAAATAAACTTATAAATAACCAATGATTTGGGTTTTTAAACGTGTAAATACCGATATCTTTGAAAACGGTGGCCGATATAATTGTTTTTAATTAAATAAATAATTACATTTAAATAAAAATTGAATACAATGCTAAATAATGAGAAAATTAACTTATAAATAACTGACCGATATTGTTTTTAAAGGCAAATATACCGATATCTTTAAAAACAGGGTGGCCGATATTTAGCCGATATAATGGTCTTTATAGTAATTAATAATTACATCTAAATTGAGATTGTATAAAATGCTAAATGATTTGACAATTAACTAATAAATAACCAACGGAAGTGTTTTTTAAGGCTAAAAATACCGAAATGTTGAAAAACAGCGTGGCCATTATTTAGCTGATATAATTGTTTTTATTTTAATTCATAGCTACATTTAAATTAAGATTGTATAAAATGTTAAATATTTGGAAATTAACTTATAAATAATCGACCGATATGGGTTTTTTAAAGACTATAATACCAATATATTAAAAAACAGGGTGGCTGATATTTAGCCAATATAATTTATTTTATTTGAATTAATAATCACATTTAAATTAAAACGTTATAAAAGGCCAAATAGTTAGTAAATAAACTTTTTTAAAAAGTTAATAAAATTTAAACAATGGTTGTTTCTCAACAGGTTTGGGCAAGAACCTTCGACGATATATCTCCCTCATAAGCACAAGACAATAATCTTGTATTGATCTGCCACTATGCTGACACATAGGCACTTGTAGCTCCGCCTCTTTTGAAATGAGCACAATCTCATTTGAGTTTACAGTGACAGTTTCACAGAGTTCTAAAACATTATTTGTATGGTATTTTAAGCTGAAACTTCACACACACTCCAGAGACAGAGACTTATCTTGTAAAAAGGCGCATAATAGGTCCCCTTTAAGTGTTTCCTATAAACCTAAAGCATTTTACAGGAAAGCTAGCCCATGTAAACATCTATGCTAGGTAATAATTGACAGTGATGATGTCATCCACATCATCTAACAGGTGTTTCAGCCTAATGTCACCAAATTCATATCCAAGTAATGAAGAATAGAAGCATATTTAGAGAATAGCTGACCTGGAAGTGCAGCTGATTTAAGATCAGTCTGTAGAGGATCCAGACCAGGGATCAGCGAATCCATTCCAGCTGTACAAAGAGAAAAATAAAACAGACAAACATGATCTTTTTTGTTTTGTTTTTTGAGTAGCAAAGTTAAAGATAGGAGGTGTTCATGGTGACGTCAATTCACTCCATGCATTCAGAGATACACAGATGTCTGATTTATGCGACTGCATACACAAATTTGTTGTACAGACACAAAGTAGTAAGTCAGAAACATGTAATATTAGGGACATCCATGAGTTACGATGAGCTGAAGTGAAAAAACAATCAACATTAAAGAACATCGAAGGTCAATAGCTCCTTTTATACTGTCTGGTCAGAGTGAGCAGGGACTGCATCGGTACGGTCAGGGCCTACAGTACTGAAGCTTGGGCAGTTAGGCTGAAATCATGTTGTGTTTCCACTGTAGGGGCAATAGCTCGCAGTAGAGCATGAAATCCCCGCTCTAATTATGTTTTTGATCAGGGTTGGAGCTGAACACTGCAGGAAGGTACAGTAGATCTCCAGGAACAGGAACCCCTGATCTATAGTCTCTCATCAGGCCGGCCAGCGCCTACAGTCATGAAGCTTGAGCAGTGAGACCAAAGTCAAGTCATGTGTCTACTGTCGGGCCTTGCAGCATTAAAACTTCACTCTAGTTGGCGCAAAAGCCTAGTGGTTAGCACGCCGACATATGATGCAATAGCACATCAGGGGCCTCATGTACGAAGACTTGCGTGGAAATCTTACTAAAACGTTGCGTACGCACAAAAATGTGCGTACGCAGAAAAAATTTCAGATGTATGAAACACTGCATACGCCGAATCTCACGCATATTCTTTTGTACATCTGAATGAACGTGAAACTGAGCGCAACATGCACGAGCACAAAACCCCTCCCTGCCTCCTCCCCCGTATGAATATGCTAATGACTATGCTAATGGAAAAACCCAACGAAAAAGCAATGGAAAAAGCAAGCAAGAAGAGAAACTTTGAACAGAATGTGAATTGGAGGTGCTGCTTTCGGAGGTAGACCGGAGAAAAGCGGTGTTATTTGCAAGTTTGTTCTTCGGAATTAACAACAAAAGAAAAAAATAGAGTGGGAGAGTTTAGCTGATGCGGTCAACACAGTTGGGTCTGAACATATCGCAGTGAGTGCATTAAAAAAAAAAAACAAATAGTGTGGTTTATACCTGTAAAATGTTGCAGGACGCTTAACAGTCTCAGTGGCGCGCTCGTAAGACGCATGTGATCATGAATTGAAACGTTCGAGCATGAACTCGGCTCGAATCCAGCGTCTGATGAACTCTTTCTTGTTTTTTCCCCCCGCTACATATCAGATTTTGCCAACTATTTATCACGAGAAAGACAAGTAGGCATCATCAATAAGTTCATATCAATAAGCATCATATTTTATTTGCACATTTATTGAATGGAAATGTTTCTGATTCACGTATGCAAATTCATCTTCAGATAGTGTCTTTATAGCAATGTGCGTGCAGTAGATCGCTCAGATTACATTGGGAAAACAGGCGACTGCTGCAAATTGTGCTTTAATGTTTAGCTGGTCAAATGTATGGTATGGAAACCTTATATACCCGCTGAACCCGTCTCATACAGCTGCCATTGCAAGGCTCAGACACTTTGTAGAGAGCAATTTAACACAACTGCCTCTAGGAGTCGCCAATGGAAATAAAACAGACACGCACAAAAAATGTGCGTACGCCTGCCAGAAAGCTGCCGTGAAGCTGCGCACATTCCCACGTTCAGTTCATTGTTAGTAAATCCAAACGTGAGCGATTCTGAGCGTGAAACCTGGCGTACGCAAAGTTTTTGTGCGTACGCAGCGTTGATACATGAGGCCCCAGGACTTTCCGAGTTCAAATCTCGGCTCAAGGACATTTCCCTACCCCACCCCCCCCTCTCTCTCAAACTCGATTCCTGTCTAAATACTGTCCTATCTAATAAAGGCAAAAAGGCCAAAAATAAATCTTAAAATTAAAAAAAAACTCCACTCACAGTATGCCCCCGAATCAACTGCAGAAAACCCATCCAGTTCAGGAAACGATTTAGATGGAAACAACTGAAGTGAACAAATTACATGTTACTGTACAGCAATAAATTATACAGTATTTATATCCGTCTGTCTATAGCAGGGGTGACCAACGCTGAGTCCGAAATCACATACATCCATACTATACAGTACATTAAAGACAGTGCGTAAGCAGTGTAGTTTGTCTGAATTCACAAAAGTAAAAAAAAAAGTAGGCAAGAAGTACCCGGGTGCCTTACTACTTCCAGTGAGATTCTGAAGTGAGCATCTGATGGACGCTACTTTATGCCATGATGCCACTAGAGAACTCTTGTACGGGAGTGAAGCGACGGAACTAACACTGGTAGGTCACCTGATAATGACAAATGGCGGATGTAGTAGGTCTGTGTTCCTCTAATGTACTTCTCTAACAGTCGTGTAGTAAACTCAAATTTAGCACCTACTGAGTAGTAGCAGATTTAAGACGCAGCCCAAGAATTACCTTAATGCAGATTTCAGTTGTAACCCTTATCACACACACCTGCCTGTAATTATCAAGTGCTGCTCAGGTCCTAATTAATTGGTTCAGGTGTGTTTGATCAGGGTTAGAGCTGAACTCAGCAGGAAGGTAGATCTCCCGGAACAGGGTTCAGCACCCCTAGTCAACAGTCTTTCATCGGGCCGGCACAGTGCCTACAGTCCTGAAGCTTGAGCAACGAGAACGAAATCAAGTCATGTTTCCACTTTGGGGCCAATAGCTCGCAGTGCAGCATTAAAACTCCACCCTAAGTATGCCCCCGAATCAACTGCAGAAAACCCATCCAGTTCAGTGAGAAGAGGAAAGTACAACACACCATCATCATGAAATGATTTAAATAAAACAACTGAAGCGAACAAATTAGGTGTTACTGTACTGCATTAAACTATATATACAGTATTTATACCTGTCTATAGAAGGGGGGACCAACACTGCGTCCGAAATCGCATGCTTCCATACTATATAGTACGTTAAAAACAGTATGTGAGCAGAGTAGTATGTCTGAATTCACAGAATTCAAAAAACAGTAGGCGAGAAGTACCTGGATGATCTACTACTTTTGATGAGATTCTGAAGTGCCCATCTGATGGACGCTACTTTATCCCATGATGCCATAAGAGAACTGATACTGGTAGATCAAGTGATAACGACCCTGCTGGAAAATCCAGCTTAAACCAACCTAGGATGGTTGGCTGATTTTAGCTGGTCAACCAGCCTGGTTTTAGAGGGGTTTTGGCCATGTCCACGATGGTTTCCAGTCATTTCCAGCCTGGTCTAAGCTGGTCAGGCTGGAAAGTGACTAGCTAGAAGAGAGAATACTCAGTGGGGAGGGGTGAAAATACGAGGAGAGCAGAGGGTAAGGAGAAGGATGAAGAGGAGACTAAAACCAGAAGGAAAGCAGAGGAAAATTACAGTGAACCACTTAAGTCACATGGCATATTTTGACAATGTTTTTGGGTCTTTTCTGAACTTTGAATGTCTTGTGAACCTTTCTGTCTGTGGAGGATCAGGGAGCTCTCGGGTTTCATCTAAAACAGGGGGGCCTACAGGTGTCCTGCAGATTTTAGCTCCAACTTGCCTCAAAACACCTGTTAGGATGTTTCTAGAAAGCCTAGTAAGAGCTTGATTATCTAGCCCAGGTGTGTCTGATTGTGGTTGGACTTAAACTTTGCAGGGCACCAGCCCTCCAAAACCGAGTTTGGACTCCCCTGATCTAAAGTATCTTCATTTGTCTTCAGAAGATACACAAAGGTCTTAGGAGTTTGGAACAACATGAGGGCGAGTAATTAGTAACGGAATTTTCATGTTTGGGTGATCTAACCCTTTAAAGCCCCATTTACACTACGAGCAACAAGTGACCGTTCACTTCAGTGGAGAGCTGGTGACTTCCAGCGACCTCCGGCTACACGAGAAACGATGACAGATGTGGGCATGTCTAGTGACGTCTAGTTAAGAATCCTTCAACTTAATTCAAATGAAGAGCGACTGGTGCGAACAACAGAAAATGTGAGCATCAACAGAGCTCAAGTGATCCTCTCTCAGCTCCTGTACTAGTCAGTTGTGTCTCCGTGTTCATGCTATAGACCAGGGGTCACCAATCTCAGTCCTGGAGGGCCGGTGTCCCTCCAGGGTTTAGTTCCAACTTGCCTCAACACCTGCCTGGTTGTTTCAAGTACACCAAGTAAGACCTTGATCAGCTTGTTCAGGTGTGTTTGATTAGAGTTGGAGCTAAAATCTGCAGGACACCGGCCCTCCAGGAACGAATTTTGTGACCCCTGCTATAGACCTTCACAGACTGGCTTTTGCAGCAGATAAATAGTAACACTGACAAACAACATGATTTATTCATGTTTAGCTTTGTATTAAAGCATTTTATAAAGGGAATCAATTTATATGTATGGTTTTACCTCCAAACTGTTTATTTTTAGCGTCAAAAAACTCATTTGCTCTAAATATCCTTATAAACATTGACATCCATTTGCATATTCAGCCACTACTCAGAACGAAAGGCGGCTACAAAGTCACTGATAGTGTGAATAAGGCCTAAGGCAGGTTTGAAGTAGAGGTCTGCATTCCCGCGGCTGTCCCGCAGGCGCCGCGGGACCCGACCAGATTTCTACGGCGCGGGTATAAATTTCCGAATCAATCACGGGAGCGGTCGGTAACAGGTTTAATTTGGGACGGGAGCGGGCTGTCTAGCAATATCGCTCCCAACTCCCGAGTGAGCACGCGTATGTATGTGTGTAAATGAAATAGCGCGATGCTGTGTTTAGCGTGTTTGTTACAGTGTGTGTGTATGTATGCGCACGCGCAAATGAGAGGTGTGTGTGTGTGCGTCTGTGTGTGCGTCTGTGTGTGCGTCTGTGTGTGCGCGCGTGCGCGAATGAGAGATAGAGAGCTTTGCCTCATTGCCTGTGTTTGTGCTTGGTGCTTATAAGTGTGTGTTAGAGGGCGCGCGCGCGCGAATGAGAGAGAA